GGAGGGAGGGAGGGAGGAGGAGGGGGAATGGGAGCATGTCATCGAGAAGAAGGCCTTGACCCGTAGGCACGCGAGACGTGAGAGGACAGCTCAGAAGGAGCCATCGCAATGTGATTCCTGGGGTAAGAGTCACTCTCATAGATGTAGGCTGAGGGAGAAATACCACCTCTCGCACCCTGGTGGTATACACTTTGCCCCCTCACTCCTTCATCCGTGAGTACGTTCCTCACGCTCGTCCTCCCACATTGCCATCGACGCCTCCCCCCAGTTATTACTGCCAGGGCATCACCTTCATTCGCACTGTGTCACCCTCCCTCCGCGCACAAAAGTGACGCAGGAGACGCGCCTGGTTCTTCACACCCAACACGTTGCCCCCTTCCTCCCCATCTCCTTCCCCTCACGTACCTTGTTCAGTTTCTTCTCGCCCAGGACGATCTTGGCCACGATCACCGCCGGGGAGAAGAAACCAAATTTGGCAACTTTCCCACCCATCATGCTCATGGCACCCTGTTGCCGCCCCCGGGGAAGCCCATAGGGAGCGGGGGTCGAAGCGGGAGGTCGGAGCGGAGCTGCCATGAAAAAAGCGTGGGACGAGGCCATCAGGGACAAGAGGAGGGCGACCAGAAGCCCACTCCACAGGCAAGGGGAGCGAGCCATTGTGCTAGTGGGGGGGCCCTGCGCGAGGAGTGGTCAAGACGAGAAATAGGTTGGGATACAAGAGACTTAGGGTACGACGTGGTCTATCCCGGAGTCAAGGCCCGCGGACCATTATCACCGACAGGGCATCCGTGAGTGGTCGCCACCCTCAAACATGCACATCCATGGACGTGTCGAGGCACTGTGCGCCTATTAAGTGCCAAATATTACGGCACAAACGAAGCGCAGGGCGGTGCATGCGTATGAAGAAGGGCGTGTGCTTCCGGCTCCCGGGGAGGTATCACCTACTCCTCCAGCCCCTTCAAAGGCCTTACGGCCCGTCTACTGATAAACCATCGACAAGTCTTTCATGACGTGCGTGATGCGTTGTGAATGTCACGAGAGATTTCCTTGATGCAAGCCCTTCCAGTCTGATTGACCACCTAATGGCTGCGTTGTCGCAGGATCTCTTTCCTTGGCGAGGCATTAGATCGTCGCTCCTGGCGGTGCATGCTCCCATGGTTTCGGGAAAATCCGAATAGCACAGGATGTGTTTTATCGCCACCACTCAACATCACAACAAGTAGGAACGTGGAAGCGTGACCGGGGAGGTAAGGGGTAATTATAACAAGAGAAGTGATCGATTTGAGTCCTCATCGGATGGCTACCACTCAGTTCTTGCACCTTTGGCAGCTTCCAAGCCAGATTACTTAGGTTTTAGAATTACATCCGCCTCCTCTCACGGCGTAATGTTACGTTTTCATACCTCCAACACGTCAGGCAGGAGGTGGGAAAGGCCAAGGGCAAGCGCACGGCCAGTTTTGCCAAACAACCATACACATTGATATATGGAAAGCATTGAAGCCTTGACCGATGTTGAGTGTAGGGCGGGCGAGGAAGCCTTAAAACGAAGATACTGCCGGCGTGCGAACAGCAGCACCAGCACACCCGCGGGCCCCACGATTCACTGCACGCAGCCATGCTCCATGGCGATCATCCATGCGCATGGAAAGGGATCACGCACGACCACGCAAAAGACAACTGCTTCCCGAGACTGGACCATCCACAAACGTCGTCTCCCCTCGGGCACATCGCGTCAGCGCAAACGGAGACGGCCCTTCCTCCCGGCCATGCTCCTCCTCGCGGGGGCCTTCGGAAATACGGGACCAGGCAGCGAGCCGGTCGAGGCCTTCATTCCCCCTAGGCACCAGGGCATCGCCCCCTACCGGGAGCGAAGGCCACTCACACACACTCACCCAGGTCACTCTCACCCGGTGTTCAGGACCACGGGCGTGTCAGGGCGGTCATGCCAAAGCTACCGCGACCACGGGCCTTTCAAGCGAGGCGGGGCCGTTGAGGACGGAGAGGAGCCTGGGAGTACTGAGGACAAGGTAGGTGCTAGCCGCTTTTCCCTCCCCTTCTCTTTCTCTCCTGCACAAAGTGTCGAGGAGTTCTTGTCCAGGTAGTGAGCTGGAAGGACGTGAAGGCGGGGCTTCTCTCCCTTTCCAGGCATGCGTAGCGGGAGCTAGCTTCATGGTCTCGTGCCATCCTGTGAATAAGGAAGGCTGTATCTCTCCCTCATGACCATCGGGCCCCTTCCATCCCAAGACCACACCTTCTTTTTCGGAGGACAGCGATGGATTCGCGGGCACAGGCCTCTCTCCCAAGGAAGCCCTTGTCACCATCCTGGGAGTCAATCCGCTCACCCTCCTCCTTGCCTTCCTGGCCGCCGGTATGCTGACAGCCAATGCTATCTTGGGACCTGGCTGGCTCCGTCCTTCTGTGGGCTTAAAACCGACCACCTTCCAGTCGAGGAATTTGGTCTTGCCGTTGGATCAACCGGGCTTCCTCTTCCCAAAAGATGCGTCCTTATGGGGGGGGGACCCGGAGTGAGAGGGTCTGTGGAAGTCGAAACTGTCCGACGCTAGGAGATAACCTGGTCCAACGAAACAGGACTGGGCTCCTATACCGAATTGTGAATAGGTGTACTGGAGGGAGCCGGGGATTGTAAAGGGAGAGCAGGGCATGTAACTGGCGAGGAGAGGGGGGAGGTTACTTTTTAAAAAGTTATCAGGATTCCCTACTTCAGGCTTTTAAGAATCGTACCCATCCTGAAAACAAAAAAGCTACTATATTATGCCATGTTGTAATTGGAACTTTCGGGCACCACGTACTTGGGTATGGCACGAGCGACTTTTGAGTATTTTGGCTTGTCTGAACATTCCGTCTAGCTCCCTCCGTCCCGTACTACGCTCGCCTTCTTGCTTAGTCGAACCACTCTCCCATTTTTTTTCCTTCACGCGTTTCATCGATACGAAGGGGCTTCAGGATCAAGCTTGAGAGCGACACGAGGGAAAATTTGTGAAAGCATCGCGACGTGTTGGTCACGAATAATTACGCTCGCAGCCGAGGGCAGGGCCGCACTTTCAGCTTCGGGTTGCTAAGTGGCACCTTGCGTTGGCTGTCAAAATCACCGCAGACTTCCACCCCCGACGGCGCTGCTGTGGCTTTTATGCTGACCTTTGTCCGAAGCACTACCTCGTCTCGCACTTGCCGGTGTGCCTTCTGCTTGGTCTTGGCGGTGGTAAGTGGAACAAGATCGGGGGGAAGCACGAAGCCTCAATATTCCTCCCATTTAACCAGCCTTTATCTTCTTAGTCACGGACGTACTCATTCTTAGACCCGCACAAATGATGTATATTGGGAGTACAGGACGCCAGTCGAGGCTTTTTTTTTTTTAAAGAGAAAAGTTTGGACTCTTTT